ACTGCCCATACATAGGACGGCGTTCTTTGCCGGGCTGAGTGTGACGCTCACTGTTCTCTTGGTGCTGGTGGGAGTCCTGGCGGCGTTCGTATTAAGGAACAAACAGAGGAGGTGAGATTCTCACCCGTGGTAAAATGTTCCTACACTTTAGCTTTAGCTTAGCTGTCATGATGTTATTTTCATCAAAATTTAAAATAAATTGAAAGAAGTACCTCTAAAACATAATGCAAACTAAATGTTCTAATTGACAGTAAACTTCAAATGATGAATGTCCAAGATTTATGAGTTTGAGATTATTTTTATACCAAATTTATTTTAAAAAGTTGATTTTGGGATTGTTAATTTTTTTGTATTAACTCACTTGTCTGTTTTATTGATGAGATTATGATTCTCTGTTTTTGGTCAATGCAGGGAGTGAATAATGTTATACCCAATAAATATGACAGGGAACCCAGGAAGAGCTGTTTAACATATTTAACCCCTTCAGCTTCCTGGTTGGGCATCACGTACACAATCATTTAAAACTATCCAGTTTATCCAGCAATTGGTCCTTTTTTCAACTTGATCAAAAATACTTTTAGGAACTCTCAGAGACATTATTGTCGTGCTATTGCCTTGATGAAGTTTCCTTCATATAAGTTTAACAAAAGCTCTTTATGTTTTACTTTTCAGGTTGTTCAGCATGGCAGTCAATCATTTTATGATCAATCAAACTTATTTGTATAGCACCAATTCATAAAAATAGTTTTCTAAAGACTCTTTAAAAAAAGTAACAGCTTTCAATTATTATATTTCATTCTCTACATTTTCAACTATTTCTTATTGCATATCAGTTTTCAGAATTTCAACACATTTTCTGCAAGGAAATGCAATTTTTCTAGTTGTGTTAAATTTTACTTTTTTCATACTGCAGGATAAATGTTTATTCTCGTAATAAAATCTGACTGTTTCTCTGCTGTGTCTGCAGATACAAAGACATAAAAGACCAGCTGGTGAATCAGTGGCTGAACGAGGACTTTGAGTGGTCCAGATCAAACATTGACGGTGATGGTCATGCATTTATTACACACGTACACACAATCACACACTCGCCCAAGGGACAAACCGTGGACTCTTCTTCTTCAATGACCAAGTGTGGGCTTCTAAGTCTAAAACACGTAAACACCTATAGTATTGGTTTGGGCATGATTTTAGAATGATTTAAGGCATGTCCAAGAGGGGACGTCACAAATTGAACCCTCTTTGCTGGCTGGTCCCCTCTTTGTGAACTAGAAACGACACGGAGGTCCCCTCAAGATATATATATATATATATATATATATATATATCTATATATATATATATATGTGTATATATCTACACACAAGTACACAAACACACACATTCTCTCCCTCTGTGAGTGTTGTTGCAGCAGTTGTTAGAATTACGTTTTTACTGCAGACGTTTTAGGAGTGTCAAGTTTTAGCACCACAATAACAGGGTTTATATAGAGAAAAAAATAAATAATATATTTGGTCTTAGGGCTTTGGAAACGCCAATGTTGGTTGTGATTATCCGTTAAGTTTAACATTGAGAAAATTATAAACCTAAGAAATAAGGGAAGGGAGTGCTACAGGGAGTGTTTGTGTGCTTTGTGGACTCGCAGAGGCAGGTCTGAAGTTCACTGGGAGAGGTTTCAGGGTTAGGTCTAATCAGGGTTAAATCTAATCTACAGGTTATCATCATGCAGTATAAAGGGAGGACATACAACAAAAACTAGTGTATAAACACGCTATGGAAACAGTATCAAACTATTGACTAATAAAGATTAAAGTCTTAAAGCATATTAGACTTTTACATGTCAGGATGGAAAAGACTGATAGGTATAAAAAGTTTAGAGATTGTTGATGTAGATCTGCTCGGCCTGCAGCAGGTAAACAGACTGTAACGTCTGCAGCGGCTAAACAGACTGTAACGTCTGCAGCGGGTAAACAGACTGTAACGTCTGCAGCGGGTAAACAGAATGTAACGTCTGCAGCGGGTAAACAGACTGTAACGTCTGCAGCGGGTAAACAGAATGTAACGTCTGCAGCGGGTAAACTGACTTTCACGTCTGCAGCGGGTAAACAGAATGTAACGTCTGAAACAGGTAAACAGACTGTAATGTCTGCAGCAGGTAAACAGGCTGTAAGATCTGCAGCAGGTAAACAGACTGTAACGTCTGCAGCAGGTAAACAGAATGTAACGTCTGCAGCAGGTAAACAGACTGTAACATTGTCATTTTAGTCCCTGACAGGTTCAGATTGTTATTCTGTGTGTGACAACATGACAGAAAGTATCCCTACAGAGGAAGATGATGTTTTAGCCACAAACAGCTGTTACATCACTGTCTACAAACGCACCACACTAAATTCAGAAAAACAGAGATTTATCCTCACAGGACTCAGAGGGATGTTGGTTTACTGCTGCCTCGACCAGTTTGTTTATTTGTTTGACTTAATGTTTAAATCGGTCAGTTTTTTTGCTACACAAAATTACATGATAAAGGTAATTTACTCTGTATGTGGTCTTTAAATTAACCCTTTCTTTTGTTCTAATTTCAGAAGTTTACGGAAACCCCACATTCACTCAGAGCGAAGCAACCGTCCACTTAGAGGACCTAGATGCTTACAGACAACCTCTACCTGCCTACCAGCCGACGCGTCCATCTTCACAGATTGACTACAGACAGTCAGCGGGCATGTTCCCCCCGTCACGACAAGCTCACAGACACATCACTCCTTCTAATATTTCTGGATACTCACAGTCTGCTGGTCCCGTCAACTCAGAAACTCAGTCAACCAGCCGGTCAGTTTTTACATCCACTCCAACACACAATCTTTTGCTCTGAGTGATAATCTCGGTCTCAAGATAAATTTTAAATGTGAAGAATCTCCATCCTTCCACACTTTTGATTATTTTATTGATACGTTAACGTCATGTTTATGTTTCTTTCTTTCTTGCTCTTCACAGATGAGGATCAACAGGCCTCAGATCAGGACGTCCTTGGATGTCTGAGTGGCACACCAAGAAACTTTGTCTTAGAAAATATAACTGTAAATAAACAAAGAGTTATTTAAGTGCCTTAGAAAAAGAAATGAAAAAGAAACCAAGAAAACATGAAAAATGATTTGCAGTGGTCAAAAAACAAATTCACAGTCTATAGATCTCATCTGAGCTGCAGCAGATCTGCAGGAGTGACGATTATTTATTTTTCATTCATCATCATGAGTAACTCTTTTCCAATTACACACCGCCATTTGAAGTATTTAAAAAAAAATGAAAGAATACACATCAATATTTTGAGTTGCTTAGTGCTGTGCTCATGTTGGATTAGTGTTGAGTGTGTTGTAAGTATTATAACCGCTAGTACAGTCAAGACCTACTCTTTCTGTCAAGCGTCTGCTGCTAACATTTGTTATGATTTGGTGCAACCGATCACAATCGATATCTGATGTTAAAATGTGTCTGCACTTGTTCAAGTTTACCAAAGAGAGGCAGTTGTTATTATTTGTAGTATTATTAGGCTACAAATTAGTTTTTGAATATTGTAATTTATTTTATTTCTATTTACATGTTAATTGACCAGGTTTGACACATTCAGATTAAAGATCTCTTTAACAAGGAGACCTGGCAGCAATTCAAAGTTACAATGATAAGTAACATTAAGGCCATCAGATCAGAAAAAATAAGAAGCTGTTTGTAAATCTGTGCCAATTGAGGGGTAAACTTTGCAAGTTACTTAAACTGTGTGCATTGTTTCATAAACATTGTGCACAGATTCATATAATCTGCTACTGTTCTGTAAACTGTGTGCATTCATTTAGAGCCCGGATTTATGCACGGATTTGTAAACTGTGCAAGGATTTGGGCAATCTGTGCTATCAGCCACTGATAGCAGATCTGATTTTAAGCCTCGCACATGGATTTGTGAACCGTGGGAACTGATTTACAAACAGCTTTTTTTTCTTAACTGAGCTTTCAGGGGCTCAGTATCCCGTGGAAGTTTTTGGCAGCAACACTTTCTTCCCTAATTTATTTCCATTTTTTAGAATAACAAATGGCCAAGAGTCCAAAGAACAAAGGTATTAATTACCATCCTTCAAGATTCAGAAAGAGACTCAACTCCCCCCCCCCCACCCCCCCCCCTACACACACACACACACACACACACACTATAAAAGCCATGGATTTTAGTACATCATTATTTTCAAAGCCAAAATTCCTTGTAAGTCATCATTCTTGGGTTCAATGTTGTTTACAAGTCACATAAACTGCTTTGAACTAAAAGTATTCCAAACTCTGCTATTCGTCGTTATGCTGATGACTCTCTCTTTTACTGATCTATACTCGCTTCTCTTCAGTATGCATTTGAAACTGCAACTTGTCTCTCTCCTCTATCAAAAGTTTGATGATTTAGAAATCAATCACAAAAAAACTAAATAAACACACGAGCTGGTTATTAGGATCATGTTTTAATGTGCAGATTTGACTTTGCAATAAAGTCTCAACCGTAGTGATGAAAAATGCAAAACAGAGGGTGTACATACACTGTGCATCCACTGAGGGGCGCTGTATCATTATTTTGATGCAGCTTCACTATGATGAAGGATTGTGAGTCAAACTGATGTTCACTCACTCAAAAGCTTTACTTTGACAACTGTTCCTTTAAATATAAGCACAAATAAATAATGTAATAAGATGAATCTGTATTATTATTTATCATTAAAGATTACTGACAGGAAAACCTGTTCATTTATATCTCTCTGACCCCATCTTTGGTTTAATTTGACTGAAATCAGCTGCATACGTAAATGTATGAAATGAAATACCACTGACAAAGTGATTCACATCTTTATTCAGCAGAACGAGCATTAAAACATCATCATCAAATATGTAGCATAGACACTCGATCTGTGTTAACCTGTGTCCAAAGAATAAACTGTGCAGACAAAAGATGGATTTGAAGGAGTGGGAACTAATGTCGGTCCTGGATTTCATTCCTTTATTTATCAATTGTACAGTTGAATAAGGACGATGCATATTCAAAACAACTCTGTAAGGGTCAGTTTAGGAGAGTGACAGAACAAGAGACACACGAGGTACGCTAACCTGAGCAGCCACACGGTTCACTCAGCAGTGTACATACAGGTGTGTGTGTGTGTCTATGAGTCTGTGTGTGCGTGAGTGTGTGTGAGTGTGTGAGTGTCTATGAGTCTGTGTGTGTATGTGTGTGTTTGTGTTTGTGTGTGTGTGTAAGTGTGTGTGTGTGTGAGTGTGTGTGTGTGTGTGTGTGTGAGTGAGTGTGTGTGTGTGTGTGTGTGTGTGCGTGTGTGTGTGTCTATGAGTCTCCGTGTGTGTGTGTGTGTGTGTGTGTGTGTGTGTGTGTGTGTGGTGTGTGTGTGTGTGTGTGTGTGTGTGTGTGTAGATGCACTCAGTAAGCCGTCCGTCCACATGGCTGAAGATGAACAATAAAGCGACTCTGAGACGCTCTGAATGGAGCAGAATAAAAACTGCTGTTTTGAATGGGAGCTAAAAATGTCTGCTACTGAAAGGCAGAAATATGAAGCCGATATATTTAGATCATTCATTTTAAAAACCTTTAATATCTGCTGCTGCTTTATATTTTTAATGGTTATTATTGTATGTGTAAAAATAAACTTGAAACAGATTGGATTTAACCGGCAGTGTGTTCACACAAAGGACTCCGTGTCAGCGGCTCACTGTAAGAAAATATACAAGCCTGAGGATAAACACACAAACTAAACCAACTGAGACAGACCCGGACACAGGGGGCATCTCCGTGACCTCAGTGGTGCCACTTTGGCGCAAACAAGTTCCTTACAAAAGTCTGTGTGACCCAAAGAAACAAGTCAACATACATTTCAAACGATTTTACGGTTTCAAATGATCTTTGTATTCTGCACACTCGGAAGTCAAAGTTGGAATTTCTACTTCATGCAAGGTCTTCTTCATATTTCTTTTTATTTTTAAATTCCTGGTATTATTCAGTGAATTTCAGGGAATGACGTATGAGCCATCTATAAGCACAGAGAGTGATGTCTTACCCGTCCGACCCCCAATTTACATATACTCCGTGCGCATCACGGTCCATCAGCTGTACACACATCTCAGGAGAACTACAAGATCACGGGAGAACTACAAGATCACATGAGAACTACAAGATCACAGGAGAACTACAAGATCACATGAGAACTACAAGATCACAGGAGAACTACAAGATCACAGGAGAACTACAAGATCTCAGGAGAACTACAAGATCACATGAGAACTACAAGATCACAGGAGAACTACAAGATCTCAGGAGAACTACAAGATCACATGAGAACTACAAGATCTCAGGAGAACTGCAAGATCTCAGGAGAAATACAAGATCTCAGGAGAATTACAAGATCTCAGGAGAAGTACAAGATCCCAGGAGGACTACAAGATCACAGGAGAACTAAAAGATCACAGGAGAACTAAAAGATCACAGGAGAACTAAAAGATCACAGGAGAACTACAAGATCACATGAGAACTACAAGATCACAGGAGAGCTAAAAGATCACAGGAGAACTACAAGATCACAGGAGAACTACAAGATCACAGGAGAGCTAAAAGGTCACAGGAGTACTACAAGTTGTTTTGTCTTTCTTAAGGAAGATTTTTTTGTCCGTCAGCAAAAATAGACGTATTTTAAATGGAGTAGAGCGTAGTGGCGCTGAGAGTGGCGTTTAATGGTGGCGTAGTGCATGCCGCTGACGGATTGTGGCGCCCACGGAGTATGTGGAAATTGGGGGTAATATCCTCCTCTATGAGTAGTACCTCTTATCATCAAACGGACGAAACAGTCCAACCATGCAAACAACTTAAAAAACTTTGAACTAAATTGTGAACATATCGTAACGTACTTTACAGTATAATATCGTAGTTGTGCCATTTCACATTGCAACAAAAAAATTTGAATTGTTTTGTATCCTTTCAAATTGTATTGTTTCGTTTCTTATCGTATCATATAGTATCGTACTCGTTGGTAAAATCATACTGAGTCGTACTTTAATATATCCTTGCGTATTGTTTCATATCGCATAACATCCATTTGTATCATGTTGCATCGTTTCATATAATTTCAGATCAGCCCGTATCGTAGGATTTCTATATTATCCTAACGTATTGTTTCTGTTCGTATCATAAACCTTCTGGTATCGTATCTGATCCTATCTCTCCGTATCATAACCTTTCATTTCATATCCTTTGGTTTAGGGTTGTATCTTAAATCCTCTCTGTTTCGTATCCTATGAAGCCTAAATTTAAGATGATTGCAAAAGTCTTTCATGGATATTCTAAATGTTTGAATGTTAATAGGCTCCCTTATTTAAAGTTTTTTAAACATAGTTTACTCGTACCGAAGTCTCGGTAAGGGATTCTTGTTATTTTTGTATCTGATAAAACAGAGCAGGTGATTCAGGGTCTGCATCGAGGTCTTCTTCCTGGTTTTAGTCTTTGACTTTCCGAGCTGTTCGACAGTAAACTTTCCAAACAGAGGATTCATTTTACCCTCGAATGTTCACAGAGCCCGTTCTGTGTGTGTGCAGTCTCAGTGAGCAGTGAAAGACGGACGGAGGGAAACTAATTACACAGCAGATATGGGGGGAGGCAGGAGGGGGGGATTGATGTGTTATGCCCCGTCAGTGTTGCTGCAGTAGCAATTAGATAATAGATCTGGATCAGCAGCACACAGCCTGCTCAACACCATCAGAGATTAGAGGGAGATGTTTCAGTGTTCATGGTGGACTGCTCTTTCTCTGTCTGCGTCCAAACCTGCCGACCCAAAAGAAACCGACCCGAGAGAAGACACAGAAACACAGTTCACTGGCAGACATGATTCTTATTACTGATCATCAATGAAATATCTGGTGTTTTGAGTCTTTTACTATCTGCGCCCTGGCAACCAAACCAGGTGTGCTCAGTCCTAGGCTTAAGTCCCAGCAGCTCTTCTTCACAAATCTTACCGATTTCAGAAACCTCCCATTTTAGATTCGCCTCCCCCTTAATGCTAACAGCATTCATTTTATGCAGCATAAGTTTCCAGCAACATCAATGTGTACAAACTGCATTTTACACCCTTATTTTAAAAAATTTCTTACCCTAACCCTTTTAACAAACAATATAATCAGGTAATCCTCTGTTTCTGGTATGATAGATAATCATTTTGACACAGTTTGCAAAAGGAGGAAGCATTATTCATCACACAGTGTTATTTGAAAATGAAATGTCATGGGTTAAAGCCTCTTTGCCTTGGTCCATTTTTTGTGGTGTACCACAAGGTTCTGTCCTCGACCCGATGCTGTTTGCATTACACTAGGGGGCCTGTGTTCAAGCTCTGCTTCCTGAACGAGAAAACGCCCTCAGCATCAGCTGTTTGTAGGCAAGTTCAACTTTTCAACTTCCTTTTTTAGGTTAAATTTGGGGATTTTTAAGCTTTTATTTAGAGACAGGACAGACAATAGAGTCAGAAATCAGGAAGAGAGAGAGAGAGTGGGGAATGACATGCGGGAAAGTAGGCATCGAACCCAGGCCTCCCCCCAAGAGGAACACAGCCACTGTATGTGGGGCACCTGCACCTACCACTAGTCCACTGAAGCTCCCAACTTTTCAACTTTTGACACCGCCACCCTCATCAATTCTCCCTCACCGACCAATCAAAATCAAGGGGCTGGATTTCTGACATCAACTTTGTCAACACGAGTGGTGGAGGAGAAACGAATATCTGACGTGTCTTGTCGAGAGGAAAGTTTCCAGGCTTAAAGCTGCTGCTAAGACCAGGACACGATTCCTTTACCTGTTTTTGTTTTCTTTGTTTTTAATCAAAAGCAAATATTAAGCATACTGAGCAATGAGGCATTTATCGTCAGATGAAGGTAGACGGGGATTGCCAAAGGGTTCTGAGATTGCAAACTGGCTAACAATACGGTTTTTTTCATGCACCTGAAGGCGTCATCCCAAAGGTCAAACCAAGCCTCCAGCCTACCATGAGGTCTCTCTAGCTCTTTTACTTCCTGTTGTCTTTGATGATGCCCAGCAGTGGAAGTGATGTGTGAAGTCAATAGTAAGCGAGACCTCTAAACCCCATACATTTCGTTCCCCACAGCTCGACCAGTCCGCCTCATTAATGCCGCCTCTTCTGGATTAGTTTGCATCTGTTCCTGCCAAAATTCAACAGAAGTTATTCACTGTTTTGTTAATGCTCAGTGAAATTTATTTGACATGCTCGACAAGGAAATTCATTTTCCCTAAAAAGGAAAACTGCTAAGGATGTGGTTGATTAAATAAATGGTGGTATCTAATATAAAACAGATGCTTTTTTAGCATCATGCACTGACCTAATCTCCATAATCCAACCCTCCAGACGTGGACTCTGTCCTCTGTGTTTCTGGGGCCAAACATACATAAGATAGAGTGTTATTAGGGGGATGCATTAACAGTCTGTGCGCAAAGAGCTGACACCAATAATGGCCAATAAAATCAAAGCAGAGCACTCTGGACCGCAGTGTAAAGATGTATTTATACGCTGGTGCTGCAGAGAGCATGTTCAGCATGTTCGACCGGGTCACTCCAACAGATTTTATAGGAACACAACATCTGTGAAAATATTACTGAAGTCACTTAGAATTAGAAGCTGGACTGTTTCCTCCCTCTATTGTTTTCTCTGTGTTACAGCTTCTTCATTTTCTTGAGTAATGACGATTACTGTATGTTGTAAATCCTGATTTTCACTTCCAGCTTTTAGCGCTAAACAAAATAAAGGGATTAAAATGATGAAAAGTGTTCACATATCCTTCATTTAAACTATTAGCAACAATGCCATGTGACACTGTATCTTTTTTTTCAGCTTCCCACCCGGAGCGGGACGTCAGAGGAAAATGTCAGCCGTGTGATTTGAGTCAACAGCTGACCAATAAAAGAATGAAAGTTGACCAA